TTTTAATAATGATCTGTGTTTACCTTGGCCTCATCACTGGGGTTCCAGACAAAGGAGAGAGCGTTGAAAGCCACCTCCTCTATGTTGCTGATGCCATTAGACACTTCTTTGTAGTCAGCTTTAAAAGAAAGAATAAAATGAATCTTCTTTTCTGCATAATATAAGTCTTTCACTTTCAGGTGTGTCGCTGTACAGATGCACAGCGACTTTGCATGTGTATTTTTGAAGAACATACCGATGTCAATGACCCTCTGCTTGGCAGTTGGCTGACGCGCATGCCAGTGATTCCAAAAGCGGAGCTGCATTTCTGGGGTCTTGTCATTCTCAAACACAGCCATCACTACTGTCTGAAGTGGAGAAAGAAAGATGAAAGAAAGCAGATAATTAGGTACGTTTGTAAGGCTGAAGGTAATTCTTTCACTTGCTTTTATTTACAATAAATGAAGCCATCACGTTTCATTTATCACTCCAAATCCCCCTTTTCTTCTCACATTGTCATCCGTTATTTGCAGTGAGCGGGTGTGTGTTTGTGTATATTCTTATGCTCAGATTTGCTTGACAAAGAAAAGGGTTGTCACCTATGTTTTAAAAACACATGCCACCACCCCCTCCTTGTCCACTCCTCTTTTTTTTCACACTCGGTTTGTGTCAGATGAGACAAACGGAGCTGAGCTAAACCCTGCTGCACTCTGGCCTCATTACACCACCGCAGAAATAAATTATACAGGGCAGGACAGTGTGACATTAATGGTAGCAGCCCAGTGTACAGGGTGTCAGCAGGGAATTAGTCACTGAGGAGCTGGCTCCAAGGGAGGGACAGATATTTGGGAAGGGTTGGCTTGGTGGCACGCAAGGAATTTATGTATTCATGAGCCCATGAAAAAAAGCCCTAAGGGAAGGATGGAAATTACAACAATAGTAAAAATATTTTTACGTAACCAACCAGGAGAAAAAGCAAAACAGGGCTTTCCTGACGATGTCTCACCTTGACTTTGGTGGCATTGAGGCAGGCACTGCTGTCAACTCCATGGAGAGTAATGGGGTAGAACTGTCCCTTGTTCAGGTAGACCATGGGCAGCTCATTGGACTTGTAAGGAGAAGCCAGGGGAGCTCCAAGGGAAAACTGGAAGTCGTTCCTGAATCTCTCCGGTGGGGAGCCGGTGTAGGAGCCAGAGTAGACCGGGCTGGATTGATTGTCAGGGAAGGGATCACTGTAGGGAAGAGTCTGAACATATATATATTTTGTTAAAAGGGAATTAGGGAGAGGCCGGAAATGAAATGAAAAACTGAAGACTGGCTGCACAGGAAACAAGTCTCAGGTTTCACATGATGACACTAAACGTACCTCAGTGCTGGGGTCGGGAAAAGCACCGGGCTCTGGCCACTTCTGCAGCAGGGAGTCAAAGATGATGTTGAGTTCTTGCTTGTCGTATGTGTCTGCTACAACACTGGTCAGGGTGGCATAGGTGTCTGAGGTGGTGGGAACAGAGATGGGCAGGGAGGTGTTCTGCTTAGATCCCAAAATCTCTTGGGGATGGCTTAACGCCTCCAATGAAACATAGTCATTGGTGTTGTTTGGAGTCCTTGTGGGGTGGGAAAAAAGGTAAGAAAGAGGAAGTAGGAGTTAAAAAGAGAGCAGAGTAATTACAACAGGAGATCCACTTTTGTGAGGTCAACATGACTGGGAAATACTCCACCCATATACAAAGAGATCAAGGAAACAAAACATAAAGTGACTAACTGTAGTATGCCTTAAACATTACAGAAGCCTGCAGACAGCCTGTTCAAACACACAAAGGTCTGCTAAAGCACTTCACGTGTCTAAACTCTCTTGGCACACACAGCTACTGCAAGGTGAACTCGGTTTGAGTCTGGGTGGGTACTATTTGTCTCTTAATCCATTTCTTCTCTGTGTTTGAGTTTCTCTGTTTAAAATGTTTGAGGGGACAACACTGCGCCCCAACAATGGTTTCTCACCCACCTAACAAGAAGTAGGAATGGAGAGCCCAGTGAGGACATAGGGAGGAAAAACAACTGTCTGTCCACCTGTTGGGAAACTCTTTAAGCAAGGCAGAGATGATGATAGAGAGGGATTGAAAGACTGGAGAGGTAGACAATCATTCCTCTGACTATGTTTGACTTGAGGATTACCCACTCATCTGTTAACAACCCCCCCCCCCCCCAACCC